CTCCACTGGCTGAGTGGGAAGTCGGGAGAGGAGGCCCGGGTGAGAGATCCATTCCTGTGGGTGTGCTCTCGGTTCAAGGTTTGGTTGAGGTTTCCTTCGGGTTTTGTTTGGGATGGTTGTTTTCCACGGTAGGGGGTGGGGAGGGGGGCGGGTTCGCATTTCTTAATCCTTTCCTTAATATTTCGGCTGTGCGAAATGACAAACATCTTGCAAATTTTGCAATATCATTCATCACAAACTGTCAGCAGTGTTTGCAAATCTGACTTGCAAGATCTTTTAAATGTGTTGTGCTTAAAAGGCAACAGTACTAAGTTTTTAGACAAAGTGCAGGAAAATTTAAGCACTTCTGACAAGCAGAAACATTAACGGTAATCATTTTAAAAACACTCGCATCTTTTTCCTGCATGTTTAGCCGTAAATAATGCTAGAATGTATAAAAGCTTTAAAGTAAAAATATAATAAATACTTTTTATTACGTTTCATAAGGGATGAAAAAGTGCCATGAGCCAGGTACAGGCATCATCTATACGTGTGGACATATAGAGATAAAGAACACCCACTGCTCACTACTAACCAGACCGGAGACCTGGGAGGGCAGCTCATAAGAGATGGATATGAATGCATTAGTTGGACATGGCGAGCTAAATGAGAAGGTCAGGCAGGGCTGGGAGGGCTGAAAAATCACACCACCAATGAGCATAATTACTCTTTTTTAAGTCTATTAAGTGCTGTTGTTCCATCAAGGCTCAGGGGTATAGGACATGGAGAACAAGATAAAGTAATGTGTATTTATTACTCCCACCGGATCAATTTACCAGATATTTTCAGCTCCATAAAGCAAAATACACAAATGCCGCCTTTGTTGCTTTCCTCAAACTGCTTTATTTTCTCCAAAAGAGGGACTGGCTCTTGGAGAAAAAACACGTCAACCCCCCTCTGTGGGGAAGTGCACGGATGCTGGAGAGTCTGAGTAGGATGGGGGTGAGGTGTAGGTGTAGGTGAGGGGCAGGAGAGAGGCGCTCACCCCCGGGGGCAGACAGACGTGGGTCTGCAGATTCCAGGGGCAAGTGCGAGCTCTGTGCTGTGGGAACAATGGGCCTGGAGACCTGGGTTTGAACCTGTTTGCTACGTGCTGGCTGAGAAGCTGTAGCCAGTCACAGGCCCTCTGGGAACTCTGGCTCTCATGCAATGGGGGGCACCCACCCTGCAGGCATTTGCAGCCCCCACTGACTGATAGCTTTCTAAATGCCAGAGAGATCTCTTTGTGTAAACTACACATGAATTCCAATAGCACCGGGCAGCTGCTTTTAGGAAAGAGAAAAACCTCGGCTGGGAAGACTGAGTCAGGCACACTGAGTAGTGGGCCTGTTTTTCAAAATCCACATCTGTCTGATCTGACAGCCCTTTCTCCTGGCCTCGATGCCTGTCAGAAACCTTGAGGAAGCCATGCTGGGCACACAGTAGGCATCAGTGAAGCGGTGCCAGCTCCCTGAGACCCACTGCTAACACAGGGTCTCCTGTTACCCACCGCCCTTGCGCTACTGCTCACTCAGGAAGACAACCAGCAAACTGAAAGGGGACGGAGACGCCTCTGGCCTTCAACACAGAGAGCTCTTTGCTCAGTGCTTCTGGATTGCATTATGCATTTCGTCACCTCTGAGCTTCCGACTGACCACAGTCCCCCTCCCCCTCCCCTCAACATTATGAGAAAAGTCAACCTTCACCCCAAAGTTGGGCACCCATTCCTCTCTCTCTTGCCAGGATCGAGAGAGAGAAAGGCAGGCGAGTCTGTGTGCAACAGAACAGAATGTTGTGATTTGAAAACCTTAGCCTGCCCTTCCCCATGTGCACAAGGAAAAGGAAACCAAACACCATCTGGGGTTAGCATAATTACAGCATTTTAAATTTGTGTGTACAGCAACTATCACTAATGGTGACTTTCGGGGACAAAATAATTCAGAGAGAAGGATTCGGCCTGCTCCCGTCCTCTCATTGGGGAACAGGAGTGAGGTCCGCTCTCCTGGCTCCTCTCACGAGAGGGGCTCCCATAAAACAAAGCCTGTGTAAGTTCTTTGAAAAAGCACAAGCCCCTATACAAAGGCATATTATTATGGAAAGCTGTGTGCTCGGTCTTTGGAGCAGTTTCATTTGACAGAATATGTGGGTGGCTGTATGAATCTAGCTTTGTCTATTCACAAACACATGGGTTTAATAAAGTGCAGTTTGTTTTTTAAGGTGTGTGGTCCGCGGCTCAGTGAAACGCTCCTGTTTGACAAACACTGACCATGATCCTAAGGAAGGCGGAGCCCCTTTTTCTCCCCCTAACAATGGACAGCAAGAGGATAAGCCTCAGTCCACAGGAATAGCTCGTGCTGGCTCCATCCGCCACTTCCTGACCCTGCTCTTGAACTCTCACTCCACCTTCACGCTCAGAGCCAAGAGGCCGGCCGCTGGGATCTGAGTCACACACAGGGCTTCCTGGGGTGGGCTCCAGCCAAGTCCTTGCACGGTCAAGTGGTGGGCGCAAGCTGTAGAGTGTTTCCTTAACACACAAACCCATCGTGGCCTTGATTACCCGTCCCAAACCCAGGACAAGGGGCTGGGAACTTCACCATCAGACCACTGGGGAAGAAGTGACACGTGCCTGGGCTGTTTGTTCAACGTTTCTAAACGTGATGTGCAACCGTAAAAATGGTTTTAAAAGTAAGCGCACGAAACTCAAGCCTACATTCCTACTTGTCTCCTTTCTTCATAGGTAAGAAAAGTACTGCCTGGCTTCTTCAGACCTCATCCAGGTGAAACCAAATTTGTTTCCTACTTTCCAATAATCATCCATAGTGTGGCAGTTGTAGTGGACACTGTGCTGAGGCACTCTTAGGTGACCCCCATGAAGCTGGCATGATTATGTCCCTATTTCATAGATGAAGAAACCAAGGCACGGACGATAAATCATGCACTCAACTGGTCGCCAGGATGAGAATTTCCTGCTCTGCTGAGATGGGAGGGAAGAGGCCTCAGAAGCCGAGGTTTTGCTCTAACACATGAGCACACAATCACAGCGACCTTCTGTAGGTAACTGGCAACCCCCCAAAGTGGGAAATATTACCATCGCCATTTGACAGAGAAGGGAATTGAGGTACAAGAGAGCTAAAGAATTTTGCCTTTAAAAAAAAAAAAAGAATTCTGACCCGGATTGCATAGCGTGTCGCCGCCCTCATTTTGAGGTCCGCCCCACCCGATCTGCCAACCGCAGTCCCTGCGACAGACTCCAGAGACAGCAAACGTCAGAAGGAAAGTGAAGACGCCCCAAATGGAAACAACAGGGAGGATCTGGCCCTGCACCCGCGCTTTCTTCCCACCGCTGAGACACGTAAGGCGCTGCCCTTGGGGGGGGGAGGGCACACACTATTTATGTCACTGTGCTATAAAATTGCCGATAAAATGGCCAGGGACTGCCCCAGAGGAAAGGCATGGGAGTTAGGTTTCGTCTAGACAGAGAACCCGAAGGTAACAATCCTTCCGCTGCCCATCTTTGCTATGGGAGCAGACTGCCATTCACTCTTATCATTCGATTATTTCACTACTGGCCAAGAATCAATCAAGGTGAAAGGGGGTGAGGGGTAAAGATGGAGGCCCCTGCCCAAGACAGAGATATGAGCAGACTGACTGATGCATCATCCGACTTCTTCCTCAGGTGACATGCGTTCAAGAAGAATGAACAGCACTGGCCGGTGAACAGCACTCAGCGGAAGTGAGGCTGCTCTGAGAAGCCAAGGGCGGAGACCAAGGCTGCGGTTCTTTCCCTGGGGTCCAGGTAGAGGGTGGACGCAGATGCTCGTCACGGCCCTTCCTGTCTTTGGGCAGCAGCGCCCCCCCCCCCATCCCCAGCCCCTCTGCTGCCTCCTGTACCAGGCCTGTTCGGACAGGTGGCTCCGCCTCCCAGGGCAGCAGGCACAGAAGTAGAATTTGATGATGAACTGGTCTCCCAAAGAGGCCAGCTGAGCCAGGAAGGAGGCCAACTTCATTTTCACAAGTGCTTTAGGAGGAGAAAACAGACCCATCTCTAGACTTACTTTACTCTCATCCACTCATTCGATTTCTAATAGCTTCCGTGTATGTTGTGAATGAAATTTCAGTTTGCTGTCAGGAAACAGTGAACAGTAGCCCCACTAACTGTAGTCCAGACTCCCTTAGCATTGCACCGTCCTCACAGAGCTTGGGTTAAAGGTACCCACTACTCCTGTCATATGTGGCGCTGGATCTGGTGGTCCCTCCCCTGCAGGGCCCGAGCTCCTTAGGAACAGAGATGTGGATGGCCCCAACATGGGCAACAGGTGCAGGACAGAAGTCAGGCAAATGAGAATTCCCTCCTTTCCCCATTAGCAATTAATTCATTAATGACGCACTTGCTGTATGGCATGTGTTGAATTTTTGCTTCAGTTCTCGCCTTGTCCCCCAGTTAGGTGGGATGACTAGAGGGCAGACGTCCTGTCTTATTTCTCCAGATGCCAGATCTACCAACATGGTCCCTTTTGTTCTCCCCTGACCAGGGATGAGGATTAATTTTTGTGTAGGCAGAAAAGCAGTGTTCTTTCTCCTCTTGAGAACTGGGATGATGCAGTGATTAATAATCTGGATTTTGGAGTCAGACTGTATAGGTATGAATCTCAGTTTAACCGTTTACATACTACCTGACCTCAGGCAAATGATTTAACCTCTCTTTATTTCCATCTCTAAAACAGAGGTGGTACTAGCACCAGCCTAAGAGGGTTTTTTGAGAGGTGGAAATGATATCACGTGTGTAAAAATAAGTACAATATTACCTGGCACGGTGTAAGTATTTGCTACTTTATCACTTACCTTAGAGTACCAAGCACACAAAGAACAAAAATACTGAGTTGCTCATCTATGAAACTCATTTTTATCAGTGGCAGAGCTCCCTGCCAATCACCCAAGCCCGAGTTTCCAGAGACCGCAACCCAGAGAAGAGGTGCCCTCACCTTTGGCAAACGCTCAGGGTCTCCAGGGTGCCGGGGAATGACCTTCTGTAACCTCTGGAAACCATAGTCAATGGTGGGCTCGTTGAGCGCTGCAATGGAGAAGCCATAGAGTTAGAGCAGTTTCAGGAAACAGAATGTGATTTGCAACACTGATGGTGTGGACGTAACAGGGAAGTCGAAAGCTTGATCGATAACCTTTGAATTAGATCGTGAAATAACCAGACGAACGTTTCTTTTGCTGAACATCTCCACCACCTTTCTTCTGCTACTGCTCATGGCAGAGAGCGACTTGCTCAAAAGACCACAGAGTAGCAGGTCTTGAACTCTGCTCTTCTGGCCCAATTTTACACTCCTGACATTACTGAAAATAGAAAGTAAAGTGGTGTCTAATAGAGGTTTTAGGGTTCCCTTTAGTCAAACGCGGAGGTCAAAATGCTCTAGTGCTTGTCAGAGAGGATCTACAGATTATAAAAAGCAGGAGAGTTGGAAATACTTGCTTCGTTGCCAAATCTCTTGTGGACCTCCGCTGATACAATGATATCTCAGTGCCTTCTGTGGCTATTAAGCCTGCAAAGAGTGTGGCGAAAGGCAAAGAGCGGGGCACTGAAAATGACCTTGATACAATACCCTCACATCTAAAATGAAAGACCAGTTCATCAACATCAGTGTTATTCCAGGGAAAAGACCGGCCTCCATGGAGCACTGGCTAAGAGCAGTGGGGCCTGCAAGAATTCTGAAAAAGAGGAACAAGCAAACCTGGAATAATATTTGGAGACAATGGGCCTTGTTCTACTTCTATTGGCTACACCCTCCTCAAAGTCTCCTCAAAGCAAACACAAGACCAAGTGGACTTTGGTCTGTCATTCTCAAATTTCCTCCCCAGGGCGTAAAATATCTCCATCCTTCTCCCCCCCCATAAGGCAACAATGGCAGCTCCGTCCCCCACCCATGCCCCTCGGATTTTCTAAGTCATGGGTGGTGGGTGGATGCGTTCTTTTCTTTTCCAACGTAACCAAAGTGTTACGTACTGAATAAAAAAGACAGTCTTTGTAGTTCTGAGATTTAGCTATACATTAAAAAACAAGTTGCCACATGCTTCACTTAAAATGACTTTCCATTAACCTAAATTTTAAAAGTAAGATGCATACTACTGCTAACTTTAAAAAACCATATTAAATTCAAATAGGTCCCCAGGCTAATGGAAGCAATTTGTATACCAACCCAAACTGACTGGCCCACTTTTCAAAATACAGGTATGATAATCTCGTGGTTTTAAAAGGACATTTAAATTGAAAGACTGTGAATTTAGTACATAATTATACCAATAGAACCCTTTAACTTGTCAACTTGTAAATCTAAAAGGCTATCAATCATTTCTAAAGAGGAAATAAACCTTAAAATTCCTTGATTGACAGTGCTTACTTTTTATGTAAGAAAAAAAAAAAAACGGGGTGGGGGAGAAGTCTGCACAAAGTGTCCAGAAATCCATTTACAAAAGTACATTGTTTTACATAGGTGAGTAAAAAGCCAATAATTACACCTCCAAAAGACACATAAATCAGAGTAAGTACTTTTTCCTCACTTGTATATTCTAAGTTAAAGTGAACTTGGGTAACTTTTTTTTAAAAAGGTTTCCCCCCAAATGCAATGCTTATTGAAGTTGTTAATAGAATAGCATTTTCATTTCAGATAATGTAATCATTTTTGCAAATATGAGATGTAGCCATGCTCCCCCCCCCCAAAAACAGCAAACTTTCAACCTGTCTCTTATGGTTATTAACTAAAATTACACACAGGTATACCAAATCTTTCTATCTATGCCAGTCTGTGCATTAAGGCACAATATTTATTATTCCTCTCATTTTATGATTACTTTCTAAACCCTTGAGAAGAATTCTCTTTTCAAATTAGTCTTGTAGAGGAAAAGCCATGGGAGTCTTTGTGCAAGGAATCTGTTCCTCATAAAATACAGGGAATCGAGTCAAGAAATGCAGGAGGGCAGCAGGAGTGAGCACCTGGGTTCATTATACATCACGTCCTTCCCCCACCCTTCACACAAATTGTCAACGAAGAAGTTTAGCCATAAAAATAGCTTTAGACAACTAAATGCATCATTTTAGTGTCTGAAGACATAATTTAGCATCTTGAAATTTGCAATTCCTGGCTTTATTTTTCAGTCTAAGCCACCAATAAAATTGGAATTGCTGACCCACCCCTTCAGTTGCCTGCATAATGAATTCATCCTACTGTGTCAAAGGACTGTGGTTGCTAATTGAATGACTGTCTGATGTATGGGAAGGGGGGCTGTGTTTCTTTGGCCATTTGACCGCCATGCAGCAGAATGACTGACACTTAATACATGCAATTAAAAGAACTGATTCAAATATCATATGGAACTAATAGCCCAAGAGCTGAGGAGAAGCCATTCTGCTGACACAAAGAATCATTGAATTAGATATATTAAACTCATTATTCAAAGAAAAATAAGCATCTACTCTGTGGAAGCATACTATGTTGGAGAAAATATTTTAGATAGTAAAGGAAAGGCTTTTATTTCCCAAGCCTGAATGGCTTGCTCTATGCCTCTATCTTTAAATATGTTCATCTGCCTTCAATTTAGGCACTGAATATCCCAATGCAACTGCCCAGTCTGTGCACAAAGATAACACTAGACATATTCAAGACAAAGCCCGTTGTCCTCAATCCAAAGGTGTCTGATGACTTTTCAGACTGTTGACTACAGAAAAAAAATTTAAACCAATTACTGAGTGGGAGCAAGCATCTGGTAAAGATTCTTTTAAAAAAACCCTGAACACAGATGAACTGTCTATGGAGTATGATACAGGCCTCAAAAGCAACGCCACAGGGAACCAAGCATTTACTGACAGAATACATGGCGAGGTTAAACAGCAGCTCACAGGAACAATATGGTCACTTCTTAAAAAAACAAACATACAGAGACCGAAGAAAATGTGTCTTTGTCAAAACCGTACTTATTTCTAAGCGAGGGCCCTAAAATGCTGTCTCTTCCTCCTCTTTGTGCTGTGCATTCTCTACATTTTCCACAACGAACATATATTTGCTTTTATAATCAAAGAAAAAGGTTAGGAGCAAGAGATTATCGTCAAGATGGAATTTGACCTGCTTGTATAAAGTAATGACATGAGAAACTATGCCTTAAAAGGGGTCTGTATACCCTTTAATAACCTTGCACAGGTTATTACAGACCATAAGAAAAATAAGTAGTATACTTTTGGCCAGTTGTATAAATATGTGACTATTCATAAACTCTCTGAAAATCAACAGAGAAGGTAACAGGGAGGAATCATAAAGAATGGTATATTTATTTCATCAGTGGGGGTAGTTGTACCTTAGGGACATACATCTACCCTGCAAGAATGTAATATAAAGTTAATCCTTCAACAAAGTGACCTCATTGTATTCAAGCACAGGGCTCAGGGGACACCAGTAGAAATGGGGCTAATCAATTTTTTCCCCCTAAAACTTGGGACAATTCCGAGAATCCAGTAGAGAAAGAAGAAAGCTTACTTGGGCATAATTAACCACAAATAAAGAAGCATGAGCATTTTAAGTTGAAAGAAGGAACAACGAATGAAGCTGTAAATTGTAAAAGGAAAGTGATGGCGAGAGCGGCGTCCGTGGCCCTGCTTCCCGACGGCAGGTCACACTCTCTGGTTAGGGTTCGAGGGGGTGTCACCCTAAACCAGTGAGGGCTGGTAACGGAATAAAGGAGGCTCAGAGGTTTAGAAAAATCCATAATCCCAAACAAGAAAAACCTCCATTTTTAAATGGCCAGAATAAAATGGGACCAATGTGGGCATGTTAAAAATTTCACAAGATAATAAATTCTCTGTTGATTCAATCATCATTTTTTAGTGCCTGCCATGTGTTCAGACGGCATTTGTGGGAATTAACCGCTTTGTGTCACAACACTGTAAGCCTTTAAAAATAAACTTTCTGAGAGATGTGTTTAATCCACCCCTGAAAGATACGTGAACCACTCGGACTGTGGAGTTGGAACACTCCGACAGTCGCAGTAGGCTGCCCTCTAGAGGTAGAATCCATTTTCTTGCCTCCCCGAGTGGTTGGACAGTGGGTCACACTACACTCAATGGAGGCACATGTATTTAAAGAGTGACCAGGTTCTTAGTGAGTTATGGATGTTTGGATTCAGATGTCTTCCTTCCACTGACCGGCTCACACTTAGAGGTGGATACACAAGCTGAGAAGGACCTTACGGAGACAGGTGTTGGTACTACCACATGCCTGAAACTTTCCTAGAAATGCACAAAAAGGGGAGCAAGCTTTCAGGGCCAGCGCATCAGCTGAGATTTCAGAAGAGTCTTCTTGCTCACAGCGATGATAAGAGACTGGGGCTGAACATTAGATGGAAATACGGTCTACATGCCTGAGGATGGCATTTCAGCTTGTTCAAAGCCATTTGTTTTCAAAAAGTCAGAGTTAATTAAATGGTTAAAAAAAAACCAACCCACTTCATCTAGCCCTGTGTTGGGACTGCTTATAAACTCACAACTATCAACAACTGAATCTAAAATAAAAATAAAAACAAACACAAACTAAGCAAACAACTAGAATAGGACCAAAAATCACAGAAATGGAGAGCACAAGGAGGGTCAGTCACCTGCAGGGAGAATGGGGGAAAAGGAGCAGGGGATAAAAAGTATAAACAGTAAGTACAAAATAGGGGGAGGTTAAGAATAGTATGGGAAACGGAGAAGCCAAAGAACTTATATGTACAACCCAAGGACATGGATTGAGGGTGGGGAAAATGCTGGTGGGAGAGGAGGAGCTGGTGGGGAATAAAGGGGAGAAAAAAATGGGACGACTGTAATGGCATAATCAATAAAATATACTTTAAAAAAAGGCTGGGGGCTCCTTCCCAGTCTCACAATGTTAGACTCCCGCAAATGAGACCAGTCACTTTCCATACAGAACCAGTCCATGCCCAGCCTTTCTCTTCTGAGCTTCGGCTGAGGTTCTGGTCCAGATGGAGCAGTTCTGGTTGTACAGGACTATTTTTTTCTAGTGTCCAAGTTTTCAGGCAGCA